AGATAGATAGATAGATAGATAGATAGATAGATAGATAGATACATATATATATATATATATATATACACATACATATATGTATATTTATACAGAGGCATATATACATTAGCAGAGCAGATAAGAGAAATAATAAGCAATATTAGCTCTAGATTGTATAGTTCTTAAAATTAGTACATGCATGTTTGTACATGCGCATATATTTTATGTATGATTACATGACCATAGACACACATATGCTCTTGTAAAGAACGGAAAGGCGAAGCATTCAGGTCAAACTTCAATATGTAACTGCATGAGTTATATATTGTGCATCTCATCATACCAAGCAGCTCACAGAAAGGAAGACTGAAGAATCTATGAAGAAAAGCATTTGGGGGATGAAATGGAAAGCAAATGAATTACAGATATACTCTGTTGCAACAACTTTTAAATGCATAGTATGTTCAACAGAGGAACCTTTAGGATGTTTTATATCAAAATCCAAAGGTTGTTTTTTTTTTTAAATAGAACTACCAAAAAATCAATATTAAGGTGGACATGGTCTGGGAAATAGGACCAAGTGAATTAACTGAAGTATGGCAGATGCTCCATCTTGCCTTGAGAATATCAAAATCGGGAAAGGAAGAAATTCCTTTAAATTGAGGAATTCACTGCCATCTAATTATGTTTCATGTCTCATTTGAACTTATTCCCAGAAGGACCTTAATCTGATCCTAAATCCAATTAAGAGCAGGGGGAGGAGAGATTGGTCAAAATTAAGATGCACACACATCAATATTCACTGATCGAAAATGCATTGGGCGTGAAGGTGAATAAAAGGTGTGATCAAATATTTGTGAATACCTCCAGAGCCTGCTTTTGGAATTTTTCAATTTCCTGTCTCAAATTTTCCCTTTCTTTGTGTAAACCATTTATCACACCCTGAAGTTCCAGGACATGCTTGTTGGTGGTTTGTAGCTGATTCTTTAGGTCAAGAATTGTCGCATTTTTTTCCTCATCAACTTCACTTCTGCCCCTTCTTAGATCATCATACTCCAACCTTAAGTTTCGCAACTCTTCCTCCAGCATCAAGTGTTCTTTTGTGAGGTTCTCAGTAAGACACTGAAGTCTTTCGATCTCTATCTTACACTCGTTGAGGCTTTTGCTCTTGTCTTCAATAGCCTTCTGCAAGTGCTCATTGCGAATATGGGCCTGTTTTAAATTCTCCTGCTCTTGGACCAGCTGGCGGCGCAAGGCCTCAACCTCAGAAGTGTATTTCCTTATCTCCTCCATGTACCGCTGTTTATCTCTCACTTGGCTATCTAGCACCTCCCTTTGGTGCCTCAAGTCATCGTCACTCCGTTTCTTTACAATAGAGATCTCTTCTATCTGCTGGGTGAGATGGGTGATTTTGCAAGCCTGCTCTCTCAAAGTTCTCCTCATCGCCTCCAATTCCTCTTCTGCGTTTTTCCTTTTGGAGGTTTCCTCGGCCGCAATTCTAGACTGCCTGTTAAGTTCCTCCTCCAGCACGTGTTTCTGGTGCTGCATTTCCTTCATTGCGCTCTGCAGCCTGGTGCTCTCTTGGTCTTTCCCTTTCTTGTCCTGCGCAAGCCTTTCATATTCACTCTTTAGGCGTCCCAACTCCTGCTCTTGAGCTTTTAATCTGCTAATGGTCTCTGTTGCGTTGATGTTAGCTTTCTCTAGGTCATATTGGATCCTTTGCAAGCGGATATTTTCTTCCTCCAGGGATTTCCTTTGGCATATTTCCGCATCTAACAATTTTCTGTTTTTCTCAATCTCTTTATTTTTCTCCTTGAGTGTTCTTCCGGCTTCGTCGAGGGACTGCTTGTAATGTGCAATCTCCTCCGTGAACTTCTGAACAGTCTGTTTTAACTCTTTCTCAAGATGCTGTTTCTTTTGTGAGATCTCCGAGCCAATCGCCTTTTGCTGGTGAGCGTTTTCTTCTACTTTTCTAAGGCTCTCTGTTGTCTGACTTAGTGAGTTCTTCAGTCTCCTAATTTCCTCACACAAGCTCCTATTTTCTCTTAAGGAATTGTCCAGCTGGGCCCTGTAATTACTGGCTTCCTCTTCTTTTTTCACAGTCACCTGATTGATTGTGGTCTTTGTAATATTAATCTCGGTTTCATACTTGTTCTTTAAACTAATCATTTCCTCATCATAACTGTTCCTTACCTTAGCCAGCTCATTTTCAAGTTCCCATCGGCTTTTAGCTTCTTCTTGCAGTTGAATCTTTAACCTTTCAAGCTCTTTGACTTTTTCATGGATGGTCGAAGATGCGTCTTCAAGGGCCTGCTTGTATCTTGCATTGTCATCATTACGCAGCTGGATGATCTGCTTCAGTTCCAACTCTATCTGTTGCTTCTGCTGTATCACCTCTGAGCCACAAGCCTTCTGCTGGAGGACATTTTCTTCTGCCCTTCTTCTCTGCTCCGTGGTGTCCAAAATGGACTCATTGAGCCTGACGATCTCATCCTTCAGGTCTCTATTCTCTCTCTGCAATCGATCAATCTGAGTGCGGAGGTTCTTGGCATCGTCTTCTTTCTGTGCAGCTATCTGGTGAATGGTGGTCTTCTTAATATTAATCTCTGTTTCATACTTGTTCTTTATATTACTCATCTCCTCATTAAACTGGTTTCTTACCTTAGCCAGCTCATTCTCACATTCCCTCTTCCGTGTCCCCTCGTCCTGGAGAAGAACCCTTAACCTCTCTATCTCATACTCCTTCTCTTTGACGATTTTCTCTGATTCTATCTTTTGCCAACCCAGGGTTTCTTTTTCATTGTGCCTTGTCTTCTGCAACTGCTCAAAATCTGACTTCTGCTGGTCATATCTGTCTTCCAACAGCTTCCTTTTCCTTTTCTCATCTTCAATCTCATAAGTCAACCTTGTTATCCTCTCATTGAGGTCTTTGATTTGTGCGTAGCACTTGTCCAGGTTTTGCTTGGCTGAACAGCCATCCATCTCAACTTGTCTCTTCATTTCTTCCAAACTTATGAATTTAGCTTTCAGCTGAGAACATTCCATCTGATACTTCTGCAGGTTTTGTTCCAGGAACTTGTGCTTGTTGTTGCTGTCAGAATTGGCATCTTTGGACAATCTCAGTTCTTCTTCCAGTAGTTCTATTCTGGTGCTTTTCATCTGCAGAATCAAGAGAAGACAGACAATTTGATCAACCTCATGCAAAGCAATGCACAACGTTGCAAAATATAGATATAAAATTATTTAGGGGAAGTCCCTCTGTGTTCTTTTCTTAACATGCTAGCCTTTTATTGTTTCCAAGGTGAGTATTGTTTTAGGAAAGCTGCATTTACACACAAAGAATCTGTAAGCAAACTAGTTTTATTTTTTCCACAAACTGATGCCTTATAGATACAATGGGATACAATTCACACAATATCGGGAAAGGAGAGGAGGGTGGAAGGGAGAGAAAGAGAAGGAGAGGAGGGAGGAAAGGAAGAGGAAGAATGGAGGAGAGGTAAGGGAAGAAGAAAGAGGTAAGGAGAGGTG